AGGCATCCAAGTCAGCAAGGGACGGACCTGCAAGAGACAACTTTAACAAGTTACGACCTCCTAAGGTTCCGATCCTACCTCGTTCCAACTGGAAGTGCTTGAAGATGGCACGCAACATGAGGGCATCCCACCTGACGAGATTCTCTCTTGTTCAACCATGTTTTGAAACAAGAGCCCGAACTTACCTTTGCGGCAGGTCTTAAGGAGCTTTGCGGCTACTTCACGATCTAAACGTGGGAAACGCTTGTCCGCGATGAGTTCTTGCTCGGTGGAGGACATGCATGCTTGGGCCCACTGGTAAACTTCATCTCCGGGGGTCTTCTGGAGTCGACCAATGGCCATCAAAACTTGGTTGACGAAACCTCTAGCCTGACCAGCGTTCTCCGGAGGGGATGGTAGTACAAGATCCTTGAGATCCTTGACACGGACAACGGACTCCTCATATGCGGCGTGATCTACGGCGGTCATGCCTGCACTGGGGTCGGCAGCTTGAGACGGGTCTGCATTGGGGAACTGGCCAGAGCCTCCCCCACCTCCCCCACCACCGTTCATGGTGAGGTATGGGCAATCCGTGTCTTCATGGCTGCCGCCGCAAACTCGACATTGTGGGGTATCATCATCTCCATCGGAGTCTGATGATGAGTCGGAGCTTGCGGCCGATGGCGCTTGTGGGGATGACGAGTACAACCCTCCCAACATTGTGATTGGTACTGGCGGAACACGAGTGCCGTCGCCAGCTTTTGGCGGAGGCGGCGCCCCTGCGAGGGGCGTGGGAGGCACTGGAGGTGGTGCGGCCGGAGGCGGAGGTGGCGGAGCCACTTGATTAGCAACCAATTGGGAAAGCTGCTGAACCATTTCCGCTAAAGCCGTCACTTGCACTCTCACATCGGCTTGATCCCTTGTACCGTCTCTACCCAACCCGCTAGTCCTCGACGCGCCGGGGGCTGCGTCTCCAACAGAGGACGCTGCTCCTAGCACTGCCGAATGGCCTGCGAGATGTTGACTTGTTGCACCCCCACCAGGGTCCCTTGAATCAGCTGGGGCATCGTGACCAAGTCCTGAACTTTGAACAGAACCACACGGAGGGTCGGGGATAGTACTTGTAAAAGCATTCCCTTGCGACGATGCGGCAACACCGGAGGCATCTTGTGAATCTGAAACCTGAGGTGCTCCAACCGGCTGATGGGTTCCTGGGGGAACTGTGCCCTGACTTGAGGCTTTAGCCGCGCTTGATTCCGTAGCTGTTTCGGCTATTGATGCGGCTTTTGGCGGGGACTCTTGAATCGGAACAGGGGTCGCACGAGCTTGTTGGGTGAGGTGTGCAACAACACGTTCGAGATCACCAAGTCGTTGATGCATCACAGAATTTTCCTGGGACCATCCACGAATGGTATGCTCTTGACTGGCAATGGTTTGTTCCCTTTGCGAGATTGCCTGTTGAGCCTCTTGAACAATGCGTTGAACCTCTTGCTGAGCGTCCTGTTGAGTGGCATTAACAACCTGTCGTGCGTTCTCGACATGGCCAATGGCTTCCTGTCGTGTCTGCTCGATTAGTTGCCTAGCCTGAGCCTCACTCTGTTGTGCTGTTTGTACGGCCTGCTGTGCTTGCGAAGCTAGCTGAGCGGCCTGAACCCTAACATCTGATACTTCGCGTTCTCGACAGGCCAATGGCTTCCTGTCGTGTCTGCTCGATTAGTTGCCTAGCCTGAGCCTCACTCTGTTGCGCTGTTTGTACGGCCTGCTGTGCTTGCGAAGCTAGCTGAGCGGCCTGAACCCTAACATCTGATACTTCTCTTACAGCCCTTTCCCTGATCCACCCGGCCTCTTGTCTCGCCTGGTCGGCGGCCTGCTGTTGGTGCAAGGCGGGATTGGCTGCCTGAGCAGCGAGGTCAGATGCTCGATGAGCTTGCTGCACCGCAGCTCCAGCAATAAATGCTCGTTGAGGTGTGGATGTAGCTGCAGGAACCATGGCTAGGTCAGGGTCATCCGGTTCAGAATCCCTATTTGGGGTTGACCTTGAACGGGGTTCTGAGGGCGTGATAAGCCCGTTGAAGCCATGACACAGCAATGCAATTTTGCACTCACACGAAGCTAGCTCCACGCGCTTTGAGCGGCGTGTCAAAAGGTGCTACGAGGAGATATCCCTGGATTGGCAGCTGGTTGCGAAACGCTCAAGTGAGCCACTCAAGAAAATACGCCCTGCTGCTTTGCACCTGATGAATTCTGCACTTGTAATTGTACTTGCATATCTGCCGCACTATGGTGCTTTATCGAAGGATATTGCCAAGCTGTATTGAGAATAGTCTGCAAATCGAATGCCTGTAGCTGCAAAGATGCTGTAACGCGCAAAGCGACGGTTTTAACGGCTTGCAAAGAAAGGCTATCGAAGTACCCGACTGGCGGGCAACTGGGATGCAGACCGATGGAGCTCCTCGAGGTACTGCGATGGATGCAGGCCCCTTGCCGCCGGAATGAAATATCGATTCCGGGACTCGATATACTCCCCAACGTTCTCAAGCGCGTTGGCAAATCCGCTCGGCCCAAAATGCGGGAAGTTGCGGAACGCTGCGATGCCTGTCTTCTGCGCTTCACGGACTATCGCAGCCTGATCGTCGATGAGGACGTGGGCACCCAGCCCCAAGAGGGCGTCTGCTTTGCCGGCCCTGCCCAACCGTTCGTGTACGATTTTTATCGCAGAGAAAGTGAGTCCAGCTGTCGTCCGCGCGTGCTCCAGGGCGACCTGGAACTCGCGGCGGCGAAGCTCGCTTGCAGCCCTGCCCACGAAGGATAGCACCACAAAATTGATAGGTGCGTAGTCGGCTGCAAATTGAACGAGATGCCGGATCACCTCCGGGTTGAGGTGGGGTCCCTGCTGCCCAACGTCAAGAACTCCGTGCCAGTCAAGAGCGATGGTGAGCTCCTTGGGCGGCACTGGCCTTGAAGGCGGCGGGGGTGGCGCAGGCGGCGGCCTTCTTGGTGGAAAGCGTGTGCCAGCCTCGGAAGTTGCAGCGCTAGCAGCAGCTGCTTTAACGACCTGCGGCGGTGGCGGCTTGACGATGTACCCTTTTGGCGGGATTGAGCCCGATTTGCTTCTGGGTTCGGCCTTGTTCAAACCTCGCGGAGGCGCCTTGTACCCGAATGCACTCTGAGTCCGATAGGAGACCTTGCTCGAGGCGGTGATTTCCTTGGAATATCTGCTTTTGCCGGTACCGAAGAAGCTGCACGAGGAAGTTCCTTGGGCAATGGAGGCTTGCTGCCAAAAATGACCTTTGGTGCGGCCTTTGGTGGCGGCGGTTGAATTGCTCCAATCCTCCGGCTATGCAAAGCAATAGGCTCAGTGTGAGTCGGTGCCTCGTATACGCGCCGGGGCACGTAAGCTGACCTGCCAGTTCTGATGGATTCCGCGTCCTGCGGAGGTTCCTCTTCTGAGCTGTATAGGCGTCGAGGCGATAGTGCTCCGCTGGTCCTGGGCGTCGATCTGGAGATCGTGATGGGGGATCTCTCCACGTCTCGTCCGCAAGCGAATACGGGTCAGCCTGACGGAGATGTCCGGATGTCCGCTGTGCTCGGCGGTGAGATGTCGCCTCACGTGGCTGTGAAGCCTCCCGAACGAGTACCCAAGTGCCGTGCTCGTCAAATCGTGTCACAGGGTATATACTGTTCTGTGGAGCCAATACGATGGGCCGTGTGGCGTGCCCGATGTTCCACAGGGGTAGCAGCAGTCGGTCCTCGTCTCGGAGGCGATGGAGACCTCGACCTTCTTGGCGATGGGGACCTCGATCTTTGTGGCGACCGTTCCCTGCTGCTCTCCCGCCGCGTTTCCGCAGCTCTAGCGTATACCCCTCGAAGTGCTGTCTTGGCGGCACCTCGCAACACTTGTCTTTCCTCTGCTGATGGTCGGATGCGAGGCAATGGAGTGCGCGAATCTTGTAGCCAGGATGAAGCTGAAGGAGGCGTAGGAGGGCGTAGCCAGTCCGCTGCACTGCTTGCTGCTTCCGCCGCGCCAGAGGCTGCGGCTCTATCCTGAGATTGCACGCCTTGCGGCAAGACCACACCTGCGGTTTCAACCGATGCGAGACGCTGCTGATAAGCGTTGTCCGCGGCCTGGATCACCTCAAAGGCTTCCTGGTCGAAATCCCACAGGTGCCAACTATCCAATGACTCACGCCAGGAAAAGAGCGCCTCGACCTGTTGCTTCGAGGCGTCTGCAAACCTGATCCACCGGAATCGTCTGTCCTGTCGCTTGTACTCGTCAACGACGATCTGTTGCAGAGTGTTGTACAGACGGGCACGCGGCCCTTTCCCACCGCGAGTGCCGCGGTGAGGGCTGACTTCCATGTGCGACCAGAAGGTCGCAGTCACGGAAGGGTTTGTTTACCCGAAAAGCGTTACGGCTGATAACCACTCAAAGGAGAGGGAAACACAGTTTTCTCAACAACGGGGGAACCCGGGACCTTAAAAGGAACGAACCCCGCCGTGACTGCGACCTCTCCCTTAACCTTGTGGCAGCGCGTGCAACGCGCTCTTTTCTTGAGCCTTGAGCCAAAGCGACATGTGATCATGTCATGCTTGGGCATTGAATTGTTTGTACAGCAACATGTTGCAAGTCATCTGACTCATGAAACCTCTGGGCCATAAATGTCATCGTGATAATTGACTTAAAATGGTCCAACCCCAACAAGTGACTCAAGTCCAGGCACTCGGGGAGTAAGGTTTCCGGAGATTACCCCAAGTAAGGCACCTCGTTTGTCCAGTAAACGGCCTCAATCAGGGAGCCCATGCGGAAAGTTACCCGTGGTCATTTTGGGGCGGCACCCGCTTTGCACGGCTCATTTGCGAGTCGTATCTTTCGATACCATGGGGAGACAGCAAGGCGTCGAGAGGTCGCTCGCCTTACACAAACATACCGCGCATTTTCGCAGGCTACAGGAGTAGCTTATCGGCAGTTTCCTGTTCAGGAGGATGAGCCAATGAAGTCCTGCGAACACCGGGCCAGCGGCCGTTATCGTGGTAGGTCACGACGACAGTGTCGTAGTCAGCCTGCGGAGGTCAACATCGACTCACGCAAAGTGGCTCCAGGCGTCTCTGCTCTTGGAAGGCATGCTATCTGCTGGCTCGATTTCTTTGCTATCCCCTATTCCCGAGAAATGAAGGTTAACATTTGAGATCGGAAGCCGTATGGCTTCGTTCAAAATCTTTGAACGGATAAGTCGCAGTCCTTTGCTTCCGGAATTCAGGCTTTGCTGACCCGCTGAGTTGACTGTCTTGACTGACAATTGAATTGCATTTGCAGGTATGGTTACTGGCAACTTACGCACGGTGAGTATGTGCGCATATATATATATATATATATAGAGCTATATACATGTGCTACATACATGCACGCATGTCTCTCCACAATCCACAATCCAGACTACCCAAACAGGCCCTTGACAGATTGCAGAAGTCTCCGCCCCGCCCCAGTCACAGCCAGCCGGCAGTTGGCTCACCAAGACTTTCTTTAAACATGCGGCAAATGCGAGCGAAGAGGCTGGCTTCAGTCCACCTCCCGCTTAGAACAAGCAGAACATGCTTGGCATTGCTCGGCCAAGGCCATTTACCCAATGCGAAACGTGCGGAACCTTTGCGCAACTCACATCCTGACAAGTTCAACCTCCAGTCCTGCCGCTGACTTGCCAACCGAACTGTCCAGACTAGAACTCCAACGTGTTGGCTCTGTACTCAAATGACTCACTGCGGCGACCCAGCAAGACAAAGACATGTTTCTTCTGTGTCTGGAGGGCTGCATTCAGCCTGCTTGGCGCGCTCGAAATCCAAGAGGGTCCCTTGGCCCAAACAAAGCACAAAACAAACACGTGTAGTCGTTGGGCTTGACGGCCGGCTTGCCGGCCGCTTCCTACAATCAGCCGATTTAGTGGTGGGTTACGGGGAAAAAACCAGCCATTTCCGACTTTGATAACCCTCAGGAACAGTCAAAATGGCGGGTTAAAGGGAAGCACCCCACCCATTTTCCCCATGATTAGAGCTAGGCCAATAGAACGTATACTTTATGGTTTGCTTCACTTTGAGTCACTGACTGGTAAAATGCAAGATGTATCTTGAGTCTACCCCATCTTCAGACTTTGATAACCAGGAGCAGGACCAACATCATGCCCCTACTTTGACAACATTTAATTTGAAAGATGGCATGGTACGGCCCTGACAAGTGTGCCTCGAATCTGGCATCGCAAAGGTCTACCAGCCTGGTCGGGCGCCGCAAATCGACAAAGAGAAAACTCGCGAACCGTATCAGCTCTGAAATGGAAACCAAATTGCATCTCAAAACATGGGAACCCCCGAACTGGTGAGAGTTTCCCGCCCAAATTTGTTTTGGGTGCACCCAAGCTTCAGATACATAGGGCTGGTTTGGCGTCGATAGACTCGGATTACCCTCTGTGTGGCGTTCCCCGAAGGACTGGAATTGTCAAGCTTCTTGGAAGACTCAGCTTCATGGAGACTGACCTTGAGCATGCATGCTAGATATAACCCAATGCTAGGCACCAGAGATTGGTACACTGGCTCAACAGAGGTTCGGAGAGCATTTGCGGCTCAGGTCTGAACATGCCGTCTGAAGTTCAGAAGCAGCTGAAGCCAGGCAAAAAAACACATGCGGGATTGAATCAAACCCGGGCGCGGACACATGCAAAACAACGCCTCAGCGCTTGGCAATCTACGGCCCCAGTGCTTCACCTCCGCTCTAAGCCAAGGGCTTCCGCGGCGAAAAATCTGAATTTAGATGCAGAGACCGGACCGCAGGGAGCTGTCCAACAAGAAAACAAACAAACTAAACATGCAAGAAACAAAAACAAACGAGAAGCTAATTGACTGGAACTGACTGGCTGACTGACGGACGGACTGGCTGACTGACTGACTAGCGACGTAACTAAACTGTAATACACTAAACAGAAACCAGGCGGAGCTCAATGACATGGGGCCCTTACCAAGGCTGTCGGAATGTTCGCCCACGCCTGGGCAGCGTGACGCTCAAGAAGGCCTGGAAGGCATCCGAAAGGAGGGTCCAACACATGTTGGGAAGTAGATGGTACAAGTCCAACCCATTCTAGTAAATACGTGTCATCTACTTTCCCCATGTAAAGATTGCATGCAGTTACCCGGTTTTTGGTTTCATCATCCCTTTTGCATACGCAAGGAATTGTCCCAGCTGCTTTCACCCTACAGAACGTGTTCCTCCAGCGAACGTCAAACAGTAGATAAGAACAACTAGCATGATAGAGGGCTGAGCGACAACACACTCTGCTATGCTCCCCCCTACCATGGCTTGTCCGCTCCAGGTGCCATTCTTGCTGGAGGCTTCAACTACAGCTTCAAGTTCATCACCTTACCTGCTGGGGCAACCCACGTTTGACTTCAAGGTCTGGATTCATCAAATCGAAGCATGCAAGTTCAGGGAAACTAGCTGCAGGAATTTCCACAGGAAGTTGGACACTCACACACACATATCAAAAACTACGATTTTCCTGTGACATGTCCTGTTCTGTAAACTGTCCTGCGACTGCTTGTTCAGAATCGAACACACCGGTTACTTAACTTTAGCTTCAGCGACTCCTAGGCGCATGCCCCTGTCAAACGCCATGCAACATCGATGACAGTCACGCTCGGGAAGGGCAAGCCCTCAAGGTCCGCTCCCAATGGCAACCACCTTTGAGGGCTACGTCAGAGACTTACGGACCAGCCGCTGGGATTTGGAGCCCAAAAGGCTTCAAAGCACAGACGCGTTTTTCTTTTATCTGGGCTGTCCTCAGGTCCCCTGATAAAGGTCCAACTTTTAGTGGGTTAAATGGAAACTACCACCAAACCTGAAAGCCTAAGTAACCGGACGGCTGGGAACCACCAAGCTATGAGACAGCCAGCTTGCTGGTGCTTTTGCGGGGCCAGAGACTTTCAACAGCGTGCGGTATGCCTTGCACACGGTGTCCGCCAGCAGGGGCTGCTCTGACACGGAGCCGGTCTCCAAAGCGTATCTGCCTCAGAACCCAGCTTGACGTCGCTTGCAACTTGGTTGCTGTTGGCCCCTCTGCAAAAGGCCTATTTTGTTTGCAGGGCCAATGGAAAATCCGTGCTGCTTCAACCCACAGATCTGTTGCCAAACAGCCATAAAGACAAGATTGCTCTTTTTCCCAATCACATGGAAATTGAATGGGGCTTTCCCCTGAACCCACAGCCAAGAACAAACAAGCACCCACCGGCCAATGACACTCGACGGCCCGAGTGCTCGAAGCGGTCGATGCCCGAAAAGGGTACCATAGGGTAGCCCTAAAGAAGGACTCATGCAGGAACAATATACGGGGTGAAATGATTTGACATGTTTATTCTACATAATCAGAACTTGTTTGGGCTTTACAGCGCCTCAAGTCCCTATTACATTTTTGCTGGCCCCTTCCACTAGTGATAGCGCAACTATAAAGTGTTAAGCGCTTGCTCACCCAAACCATCGCTTTCACATCGGGGTGTGCGCTGAAATGGGGACCGCCAACCACCACAAGTGGCTATCGTTCTTCAGGCTTCGGTTTTGAACACGTCCAGAAAGGGCGCTTCGCTTCGGGAAAAGCACACTCACATTTCAAGCTTGCAGTCCAGCGTGTATCCGGTGCTTTCTGTGATCCTGGGAAGCCCCAAGCCCAGCGTCAGGTCTCTGAGGCAAGCACAGGCTTTGAGAAACGTCGCCTGAGTTGGCAAAGCATTTGAAGCGAACGCTTGAAGTGATACAGGACCCGAATCCGTGAGTTTCTCTCTACCTTGGACCTGCTTGCTCAAAAATGAGCTTGCCTCGACCGCACTGGGCTGCAGAGACCACGCACCTTCTGAGCAAGATAACTTTGTGAAATATTTCTATGGAAAGATATTAGTTCTCTATTTATATCTTCTTCAAATTACCTCCGGGTTCTCTTCTTTCTCACATCCAGATAATGCATTAGAAGCATGTGGATTACTAACTCCTTTACATATAGTACCTGAATGGTATTTCTTATGCCAATATGCTATGTTAAAAGCTGTGCCAAATAAAAATACAGGATTCATTACCATATTTACTTCTATCTTCATCTTATTTTACTTTATGAGAAGTCTCTCTTTTTCGTTCTATTTTATAATATTTACATCTAGTAGATTTAATGGTTTTTTATCTGTGCTTTTGGTTTCTGAATCTTTTTTCTTTTATTTGGATAGGTGGTCAATTTCCTGTAGACAACTTTCTATCTTATGGTCGTATCTTGACATGCAATTATTATTATCTTCTTATCTGTATCTTATTGTCCTTTTATTTGGTTCTTTTATTATTTTGGATGTGTTTGGAGATGAAAGTATATAAGATAACATAATTTGTTAAATCAAATTCAAAAAAATCAACTTCATTCATTAATAAATCTACTCTCTGTTTTTCTGGGATGGTTGTTATTATCAGTCTGTGTGTCATCGCTTCTTTAAGCATTTCATCAAATGTAGGGCGTTTCCTTAATCCATGATATTTACTATTCATTATTAAATATCATAGACTAATTATTATTGAGTTGTTGACCTTGGTTTTTCTACAAAGTATTTGTTACATACATTGTCCTCATAATACTTTTGTAGTTGATTCTTAACAGTTTTTCTTTCTACTCCTTTTGTATTGTTATATTCATCTAACAGTTCTTTGAATTCATCATATTTGTCTGGATTAATCACATTAAACTGATGTAGTCGTGAAATGATGCTGTCCATCATAGTTCTTGGATTTTTCGCTAAATATACAGGCCACATCCACTTTATGCTGATCAGAGAATTCTTAAAGTTTGTTTCATCATCAACGCCCTCGTCTTCAACATCTTGTAATTCCATTTCATTTGCTTTTTCGTGCATTTCAATTATTTCAGCATTAGTAACAGTTGTTCGCACATCACCATCGTTGTCTTTACCCTTTTTCTTCTCTTTTACATCAACAATAGGGTCGTCTTCTGGTTCTTCTTCTTCGCCTTCTTCCTCTTGTATTCTCACTTTATTGATTGGTTCTAATGGTGGCATTTCTTCATCTGGTGCTATTGAATGGACTTGAACACCTTCTGGTAATGATTGACCAGACAAAGCACTTGCCATTTCACCGTGTTGTTCAAACATAAGTCTCATTATTTCTGCAAGTTCTTCTTTCTGTCTGTTCGCTTCCATTAACCTTTCGTTTACGAATGGCTGTTGTTGTTTGAATGCATCGCCAATTTATCAAATATTCCTATATCTGTTGACGCTTCCTTCTTAACTTCTTCTCTTCTGCTCAATTCTTCTTTCTTTTGAATATCCAAGGCATCTTTATTATCAAACTGACTACCGTATTGATTTAATTTGTATCTTGTTGCCCTTCTGTCTATGACATCTTCAATTGATGGTCTATTCTCATCACTTACCAAAGTTTCTTTTAACAATTCATCATAAGAGGGTCTCAAATGTAATTGTGATTTCAATGACCCTACTTTAACTGCTCCTACTGTATTCAATCTATTTCTTGATTTAATCATATTATATTAATTATTTACAAAACAAATTAATCTGAGATATTCTTAATCATTTCTTTTAAATGTTTCTTTCTTGCTTTTAGTTGTTCTGTTGTTTGTATTCCATCAGGTGGCCGTGTATTGTCTAATATGTTTCTTATTCTGTCTAACTCCTTTCTGTAACTTTCGGTTCTGTTGCTTTCAACTAAATCATTTCTATACTGTATTAGTGCTCCCTGTGAGTGTTTCGCTTGCAGTGTGTCCTTCAATTGTTTAAAATAATTCATTCTTGAAGCAACACCCCATAAATCGTTTGTGCCGTAGTAACGTTCTACTTGTGGTGCTCTTTGAAATTCTACATTTCTATGACTTCTCATAAGCATACTGTATATATATATGAATTAAGTTATTATTTATATCATTGATAAAGTTAATTTATATATTTTATCTGATTGTATCTTGCTTTTTCTTTTGTTTCAGTTCTTCATAATGTTGGTTTAAGAGTTCTGTTACTGTGGGTTTCTTAATTGTTTCTTTAATCACTTCTTGCTTAATCGCATTCTTAATCTCTTCTTTCACTTCTGGTTTTATCTTTCTAATATTCTTTTGTGGATTGGCTGGAAGCATCTCGGTTTTTGCTCCTTTACAGCTCTTAGGATGTGAGTGTCTCAAACTTTTCAATGTCATCTTTTTAGAGCACTGTTCGCATTCTACTAACTCAACTTCTTTCTTTGTCCTTGGTAATGCTTTTGCTTTTGGTTTAAGTTCTTCCTTTGGTTCTGGTTTTGGTTCTTCTTTGGATTCTTCATTTGGTTCTTCCTTTACTGTTTCATTATTTTCAACTACTTCATTATTAATAGGTGCCTCATCTGTTTTAGTTTCATTATTAACATCTACTGTCTGAACACTGGTCATATAATATATATATGGAAAATCTATATATATTATTTAAATAATATCACTTTTAACAAACAATAATGAAAATGAACAATTAACCCCATTCAAAATAATTTCAATACCTAATGAATTAGACAACCAAAAGTCTAACTGCTTAAATGCCCTATTTGATACATCCAAATAATCTATTGGGTTCATTTCATTATTAAAGACAATTCCTGCGTGTGGTGCTGTGACTGGTAATTTCTTAACAACGGTGCTATCACCCGTCCTTAAATTTGCCTGATTATAATTTGATAACTGAGAAGAATGAATATAAATATTTCTAATGGGTTGAAGATTAACGAAACCAGAAACATAAGGCTTATTATATTGATAAACATTCATTTGATAATTTCCTAAAACTTCATTAACAGACTGTACGTTATTAGCATCAAAACTGACATTCCAAATATAATCACCATATATTATTTTAATCTGTCCCTCTGTTAATACAGCGAGCTGTCTTTCAGCATAGTTTGAAGAAATCGCTATTTTATTAGTTTCTACACTGTAAACAACTTCATAAGTATTTGTGAAATTGACGTTGTCAACAAGACCGTTAATTTGTGTTTTCATTTCTGTCGCTAATTCTGTCCCTGTATAAACTCCTGCTGCCAGTGAAACAGCAATCCAATGGACATTAGTATTATCTTCATCTGGAACTAATGGAGAAGAATAAGCATATAGAATGTTATTTAATCCTGATTGTATTGCATACCATGAGTTAGGTAGTGTTATTTCATGAATGTAGCAATGAACACCATTATCAGCTTGTAATGTTTCCGGCAATTCAACCCTAAAATTAGATGATGAACAACTAATCCTATGGGCGCTGTCAATATAAATTGTTAAATAATGGAGAAATTAATTTATAACTTTAACTGTATGATTAATAATAAAAAGTTAATTTATGAAATGGAGTGCGGTGGGGTTAACAGTTATTATCCTAATTCTAATTTAACTGATGCCCACGGATTAAGTAGAGCATATGGTAATGGTAAAGGTTTTTTTATATTGATGGTGATAAAATGTATGTAAGTGGAACATTTGGAAAAGGAACGTTTGGAGGTGCTGTTAATGTTGGACTACCGTTTAAGATGACAAAATATTCGCAACGATATAAAGACACATCAAAAGCACCGGATGAAAACAATGAAGTTAAACACCTTATAACACATAGTCTCGGTTCAAGTGTAGGGGCACAAATAACAAAAGATTATCCTGAAAGAGAATTAACTTTAACCACTTATGGAGCACCATTTATATCACGAAGGTCTAAAATTACTGATGATTACAATAATTTTAGAAGTATCTTAGACCCTGTCAGTATTTTAGATAGGTCTGCTGTAACTGTTTATACTGGTTCATTAAATCCATTTACTAACCATGATTACATAACTGGATACGGAGACCAAGGAAAAGATGTTTCAAGAAGCGTTGAACCTGTAAGTGAGATATTATAAAAATCTCGATTATATTAATGATACAACATAAGAAATATGACAATGAAACAACAGATGATATGATTAAGAATGAAAATAAAAATATAAGAAAAGTTCATACGAATAAATTAGAGAAATCGTATTGGAGGAAGAAAAAGGCAATAATCCAGTTGAAGATAAGATTAATAAAAAGAAAATGAAAATTATGAATAATAATTCTAATAAGAAAGATTTTACAAAACTATTTAATTTTGTTTAAAGTATTTCTAAATTAGATTATATATAGTAATGGAAACTTTTAGTGCTGAAGATATTCTAATTGACAACCTCTCCTTCAAATTAAATAAAGGTGCAAGTTATATTAATGAGCGTCGTTCTGTGTCATTCTTCCCGTCTGGTTCAAATGTTTATATGCCTTCATCAGGTAATCGTGTATTGAAAATCGCATTGAATGCCGAAGGTAATAGTTGGTTAGACCCTCAATCAGTGATGGTGCATTTCAATGTTGAAAACAAGGATGCTACAAACAACCGACGCGTACGACCTCTGTCTCCTGCTTATTCCTTCTTTAGAAGAGCACGACTGATTGCTGGTAATCAACTTGTTGAAGATATTGATTATTATAACAGAAATCATCAAATGATGAGTTGCTCAATGTCAAAGGGAGCACGGGACAACGAAGACGCACAAAGTTTTGGATATCGACTTGATGACGATTTAACACAAAGAGTAGCAAATCCATTAACTGGACTTATTGGAACTGCTTATGACAGCAATTCTATTCCGGGGTTTCAATCAAAAATGGTTGTAGGTTTCAAACCGA